TACCTAGATACATAGATACTATATCCACGAGTGTGAAGACAAAAGTTTCGCTTCCATTTCCGCTGCCAATATGACTTCTACCCCCCACACATGCTTCCCCCCCGCTCTCTCTCTCTCTGGCACTCTCTGGCTGGCTCTCTTTTCCACTGTGAATGAATTTTAGCAAATGAATAGAAATTAAGTTTCGTTGCCGCTTGAGTGCTTCTCTGCCAACTACTGCAATGCCTCAGGGTTTCCTCCTGTGTGTCCCCCCCCCCTCTCCCTCCCTCCGCTCTCTTTCTCTTTCAGGTGAGATAATGCCGTTATTGTCGAAAAAGTTTAAAATATGCCGCCTTTTATAAAATTTAATGAGAAAAGTTGGCGTTATAAATTTTTGTATGCGGTGAATTTATTTGCTCATTGCAGCAGCTCCTCGGCTAGAGAGGGAGAGGGGAGTGATAGCTAGAGAGGGGAGGGAGGGAGAGGGAAGAGATAGCTAGAGAGGGGAGGGGAGGGAGGGAGAGGGGAGAGATAGCTAGAGAGGGGTTGGAGGAAGAGTGCACAATTCAAAAAGTTTTTACCCCTCCAAAGACTGATTGCTCTTTGAATGATTTCTGAATGGCAGCGCCAACAAAAAAGGTGGCAATTTATTTACCCGAAAAGAAAGACAAAGACAAGGCCCCACCCCCGCCCGCCCTGCGCCTATAGGGGATTGAGGGTTATGGATATTTAGTCGCCAAATGCTTAAAATATAGCCAGTGCTGGAGCTGCCAAGCCGAACACGAATGAACATGTTGGATAAAGAGAACTTTAATCATTCGCTATTTGCACGCACGGCAGCGGCCGTTCTTTCGTCGCCCGCCTTCGTTCTTTGCTTCGTTTCTACAGCTACAGCATCGCATCTACTCGTAGTTGCTCGCTCGCGCTCTCTCTCTTTAGCTATCATGTCCATTCGTGCTCGGCTTAAGCAGCAGCCCCGAGCCATAGTCCCGCAACGTGCTCTCGTTTCGTTCTTCCCTCCCTCTCTCTCATCAAGCTTGGCGTCAAAGCGCTCTCAGTAGGGCTGAGCTTAAAGGAAGACCCGCAAGAGAGAGATAGCTGACCACCGCGTGTAATTTCGTTATCCACCGAGCAGCTCTGACGCTTCCTCCTTCTCTCGCCCGCTCTCACATTGCAGTGCCTTTGGTGTTTGGTATTGCGTTGGTGCCGATCACTTGTACGGCAGCGCAGCAGCAGCGCTTTTCCTATGCACAATAGAAGGGTCAAATGCAAGGCCTTGCATTTCAGTTCTCAGCCGATCAACGTAAATATGTATTTCTGCATTTCCGTGCAAGTAAATGTCCATATACAGTCAGTCACAAAAGTATTCGTCTCTAGGTATCCTCTATATTCAAGTTGTCCAGTATGTCCAGAAACTCTTTACACACTGAAAATAAATTTAATTTGATTTGGCTTTGGATAAGAAAATAATGGCCTTTAATTCAAATTTATGCAATTTTTTAATCCATCAAAATTAAGTGATAATTTATAAAGTAATTTGCAAAAAAAAAAATAAATAAATACATACATATGTATACATAAATAGGTATTTTTTTTTTACACTGTCCATAAGCTGTTTGCACAAAATAATTTTCATTTTACAGATTCAACATTTTTAGTGATTATATAATATATTTAACTAATTTTAATATTTTGTATATTTGAAGGGACTTAACATATCCCCAAATAATACCTTATTTCCAATTACATTCCCTGTAAAATAATTGAATGTTGGGCGTTGCAGCCTTCCACTTTCTTCCATCAATCAGTGGTGGACGACGCATCCTTTTGTGCTTTCAACACTTCCCAGGCTTTCATTCATTCCCTCGAATGGCTGTCCAGCCCTCATTCGCTATCATGCCACTTAATAACCTGCAATCCCTGATTTCCCCTCCGCTGCAGGCCGCAGCCGAAGTCAATGCCCCCTCCCCCCTCCACCCCCTCCACCCCCTCCACCCCCTTTGGATGGCCAGTCAACCAGCCGCGATAATTGTCATCTATTTTGCATTATAATACGAGTACTGCCTGTCCTCGGACGGACAGAGTGTTGCGGATTATTGTGGCATTGATCAACAGCTGCGCTGCAGAACGAGCGCATAAATGAAAATTTCATTTTCACAATGCGGTTTTTATTGTGGCCAACAATATTTGCCACTAATATGCGGCCAGCAGCAGCACCACCACCGGCGGCGGCACCGGCGGCACAATGGAGCCGTGGAGCCCCTGAAATGCATATTTATGAGGCAGCCCCACAGCCCCCAAGCCCCCCACATGGGCACGCACCAGGGAGTCCAGGGGGGATTGTGTCGTCGATTTGCATTTTGGCCGAGTGCCTAGCCTAGACACAATTCCTCATAATTCGCGCCACTGCCACATGTGGCAGACACGTACGCGCCACAGAACCAGAATTGAAAATGAATTGCCCCGAAATGAATGCAAAACTCCTCCAACGCAAAGTGAAATCTATAAGCCGGGAAAACCAGGTCGGATGAGGTCGTGGATGGAAAATCACTCACAGCCCCAACCGATGGGGAAATGGCCATAAAAGGGGGGCCATTTTTTACACCAGGAACCCTTTAAAGAGCCTGGAATTGAAGGCGAAAAGGGGGAGATTTCTAGAGGGGGCAACTTATGATAGAAATGGATGGTCTTCAGGCCCAAAAACCTGTAAGAATTTCAGGGAATTTACTGCAATTTAAACCCCTTCCAAAGGCACGCCACAAAACCCTTTCACTCTTCAGAAAACAAGTCAAAAGTATTCCTCCAGCGACAGATTTCCCCACAAAGAATGCCATTTAAAGGCTTTTAGAATTAATGATTAGATTGATTGAAGGCCCTTAAAGGGGAGGGTGGGGGATATTCTTCAGTTTTGTTTAATTTATGTCCACATAAATTACAACCTCATTACATGCCCCACAGGTGCGCGGGCTGTCGTGTTTGGGGCGCACTCATAACACGACACATCAGGGGCCATCAAATCATAAAATAAATTTCATATTTTTTCAAACAAATTGGGGTTTCGCCTCACGTCGGCAGCACCAATCGGCGGTGGCAGGTTGCAGAGCCATAATAATCACGAATTAATATCATAACTCCCGAATTCCAGGCAGGCACCGCGCCCCACCGCGCCCCGAAATCATACAATTTTGATATATGGGGCGATGGATACATAAAGAGTGGGGGAAAGATTCGCTTGCAGAAGGCCAAAATGAGTGGAAAATTAAGGCAAATGAAAGCCCATCGTGGCAGTAGTTCTCTCCCCAACTTTCCCTTGTATTTGCTCTAATTTTAGGCCTTTTCACACCCCAAAGGACCCTGCGATCTTCTAGAACACCAACTAAAAGAAATTTCAATAATGAATTGGCGCAACGGCGAAGCAAAGTCAAACCCAAACCCTTTTGCACATCATTAAAGGCCGCCCCAACCCTCTCCAGGCAGGACCCTCAAGACGGAATATGCCTTTGTGCTGGGACTTTTATGGCGGCCTCTTCAAAAGTGTAATTGAACTCCATTGACCGAGGGCCGAGAGCGAGTCCGTGCCGCAATAAACATAATGGAAGCCCTGCCCCTGCCCCTGCCCCAGCCCCTGCCCCAGGCCCTGCCCCGGCCCCTGTTCTGGAGCTCTTCTACCATATGGAGTATGAAATTGCCGTCAGACACAATGTGCGAGGCTCATAGTTTGTTGCTGAATATGATACGAATATTCCACCCGCCCGGTTGACATTTCAATTTATTTTGCCATAAATAAAGGCGAAACCCCGGAAGAAACCCGGTCGAACCCCGGTCGAACCCTTTTTGCCCCCCCATTCACGATATTTTTTGCCATTGATGGGAATCGGCAGTCGGCAATCGGCCATCGGCTGGGTAGATCCATTAATTATACGCCCACTTCACAAAAGCAGGCAGCAAAAGTCAAAATATTGACAGCTTAAACTTTTCCCCCCCTCCCCTGCTCTGCTCCTGCAATTGTTGTTGTCCTCCTGAAAGGAGAATCCCGGCCGAGGACTCCTTCAATGCGGCTTGCAATTATTCAAGGACAATGCCAGGGCTGGCAACAATCGGAAAAGGAAACGAGAAAATATCCTCTGCCCAATATCCGTTTATCATTTTTGACCTTCTGCCCGCTTTGGGCCCATTGTGGCCGGGCCCCTGTCTGGGCATTTATGAGAGCGCGCAGGTCCGGGCCTTAATGAATTATTATGCCCTGCCCCCTGCCCCCTCTCCCTTCGCAGAGGCCCGAGCTTTGTTGCGAAAATTATTAAATGGCCCGGAATGAATGATTTAATGACCGATGCCGAAGCCGAAGTCAGGGGCGTAATTGCCGCCCCCCGAGAGAAGGGTTGGAGTGCGGAGAAGGGTTGACCCTTAAAGCCAGGGCCTGGCTGGTGCTTAAAGTCGCTCCTGGAAGTCCTGGAAGAGGCGGCCAGTCACGAAGCACATAACAATTTTCCGGGAAAGTGCCAGAACGGATTTCTTTACAAGAAAACAAAATGTATCTCTTCATAAAGTCATATGCTATGAGAATTCAACTCCCCTGGGAGTCCTCTGGGGGGGCGTGGCATCTAAGGCAATTCGCCAAATGGAAATATTATTGTGCTGCATATAAAGTGAATTTTATTCCACCTTCCTCCCTGCAGGCGAGGGCTCATAACTTTCTGCCGGGTCCGTGGTCCTTGTGTGCAGCAAGGACCTGCTCGAGACGCTGTTGACGCGGCAAACGACTTGCCTGTTCGTTATGTGGCAATAAGCGGGAATCCCTGAAAGTAGTGCCACTCTGTGTTATGTGGCCACGACATGATATTGTGTGTAATGGAATGGAATCAAAGCCACGACAAGTTGGTGGGGTGGAAAGAGGGCTTCTAAGGATAGAGGGGACACCTTTCGACAGACCCTAGCGATCCCTTGCCACCACGTAGTCGGTTCTCCTTACTTCAAAATCATTTCCCAAACAGTCTACAGTCTCTCTAGTCATTCGTTTGGCGATGGTGTCCTTCCTGTCGATTGCTCTGACTCTCCTTCTGCGCAGCACCTTGGGCTGGTCATATTTCGAGCCCCCCAAGTGGTCGCCCGCCCCCTGCTGGGCCCGCTGCCTCATAATTGTGGCCACCTTGCTGTGGGCCTCGCGCATTGACGTCTCCCCCCACACGACCCCCAAAATGGTGATCCTGGTGGAGACAATCGTGGCCTACGATCTGCTGGACCTTGTGGTCTACGGGGCCTGGGGCAGTGTGGAGCCCCTGATCCACCGGGCTGTCCTTTCGAAGTGCCTCGACTGGGGGATGAGTGGCGAGGCGTTTCTCCACCACGAGTGGCTGATCCTCGGCCTTGCCACAACTGCAGTGGCCGCGACTTTGTGCTGCTTGTTGCCCAAATTGTACGGGTTTTTAAAGCCTGAATGGATTCTATTGGCTGTATTTTTGGTTTTTATGGTTTATGGAAGTGTTTACTAAATATATAGAATGGAATATTCGGCCCATGATTCGTGGTGGGGTGGGGGTAGGAGCAGGAACAGGACTTGCCTTTTCTATCGAAGAAATCCTACAGGAAATCCACGGAGTCTTTGGCGAGGCCTAGAAGTCGGTCCCTAGAAGGCAAAAACAAAGCCCGCTGCTTGGATATAAACCTCGATTCTCTCCCTAGATTGAGTATCTAGGGCCTAACGAAGGGCAGATTTTCGCCAGGTCTGGGACCCAAAACCAAGTACAGGCCTCGAGCTTCAGCGACACTCAACCGCGGCGCAGAATAGGAGCTTAGAGGTCCCAAGGAAGCCCTGCTTAACCGCTTAAGCACACCTTTTACCCATCGAATCCCCTGTCTGTGGTCTCTTCCCAGATGTATCTTTGGCTGGAGCCAAGGTTAGGGGCTTCCCTGGTCTGACTTTGGGCTATGCTAATCAATCGAATCTTTAATTTCACGAAATATGCAAATGCCTAAAAGTTTTGCGCCAATAAAGGCTGATGTCGAGACATAAAAGGCGGAAAACTGGGAGGGGGACGACCCCTTTTTCGATCGGAAGAGGACCTGCGCATTTGAGTCGTTATTAAAAAAACGAAGGGAAATGAAAGTCAAGCGGAAAATATCCTTTTTTTTTAAGCCCCTGTCTGGGGATCCCACAGCAATGGCGGACAGAAGGACGGGGCCCAATGGCTGTGAGAAATTATCATAAAAATCGCGCAAACTCCGTGCGTGACTTTAAAGTAGCGACAGCATCTCCGGGGTCCTTTGGGGTGGCTTCTGGTGGTGGCTCCGCAGTCCTTTTTAATATTCCCGTCATAGGCGGTTGTCATTTTTGTTGTATTTGATTTTAAATACGAATTTCACATTTTACAATCAAATTAATTGGTCACGCTGCCGCAGAATTACACCCGTCGAAAGGGGCACGAAAGGACACGAAGGACACCAAGGACACCCATTCCGAATGGCTTAAGCAAGCAAACAGGGGATGCATCTGTCGTCCTGCTGGCAAAAGGGATAACCGAAGGAGGAACTTATTGTCATTGTCTGCATTTGACGGTTCGCCGGCGCCCGTGCACGTGAGGCCCACGAAGCGTTGCCAATTTATGCAAATATTTACTCGGTCCTCCGTCCCGGGGCTCCGAGCCGTTCAATTAGTTTCGCGATATTTATTATTTTGTTGGGAACATTTTTGAATATTCAATTTGGCTGGAATTACGCAATTTCATGGCTGCCGCCTTGAGCCTCCAAATTAATTTGTAATTCGCTGGCAATTTGGCAGATGAATTATCTCCAGGAAAACTCGGATTAGGCACGCCCTTCGCTGGAGCTAAATGCCTGGGATTTATGTGTGTGACAAAAGTTCAAACCGGGGCAGGAACCCCCCGCCTCCTGCATCTCCATGTCATCATTGGGCGCATGGCTCCACAGGGAATCCCCTTGGTGGCCCTCTTGAAAAGTTCAAAGGGAAATTGACTAAATTTAGACCACGGTCTGGGCGTTTGATCAGCGATGATCTCCAATGAAGATGTATCGCAAATCGCAGCAGGACAGCAGGCCTCTAAAGAGGAGGCTTTGGCCCAAGGAATGTGGATCTTAGGGGGGTGTAGACTTTACAGAGCTCTTTAGGGGAGATAATGAATGAATATATTTGTGTGTTGGAGGTCTTAAAAGGGGGCTGCCATTACCTCTTATACCCCCCTTTCCGACCTCCTTTCTAGCCCTTCGAAACCCCTTTTTCTCCTTGTGCCTGCCTCTAGTCTCTGGCCAAACCTTTGGCCAAACCCCCCCCCCCCCCCCCCCAATCCCTGGCAGCCCCTGCCCGAATGTTTACGCTTGTTTTGGGATGCACCGATCGATCGACTAGGCATAAACAAAGGCCCAGAGAGGCTGCTCCTCTCGGGTCTCCTCTCTGTTCCGCAATAAAAAACGAAAATGGAATCATAAATCAGCAGATTAATATTTTATGAAGTGTATTGTGTGTCTGCAACTGTTGTTTGGGGCAACTCCGGGGCTGGCCAGTGGCCCGGCTGTGGGTCTCTGAACAAACGACTTCCCTTTGTTTAACATAAATTCGTTAATAGACGCTGCCGCGTGTAAACAAATCACTTAAACATTTTCAAATTGACGCCTGACATGATTTTTTTCACTTCGTTGTCGGGCTGTTGAGGGCACATCGATAGATAGATGAATATTTATTCAGTCGTTGAAGTACGGGAAAGTATCACAAATTGTAAATCTACTTGTTGTTACAACGAATTTTGCTGTTGCCTTGCCTTGCCTTGCCCCAGTGGCAGCCGACTTGTGTCGCGGCAATCCACGGCGACTGGTGGCCGAAACGAGGGGAGGCTGTGCCCCGAGGGGGGATCGAAGAGTTGGCAGGGGCCTGGGGGATGGTCCTAGAAGGGGCACAGCCCATGGGCAGACCTTTAGAGGTGTCTGAGGGGGATTTTTCTACAAGGAATATAGCCTCAAAGACGTCTAGCAGCCCAAGCAGGGCCTATCCAAGCTTCTTTTCCTATAAATAGACCCCCAAAGTCACCTCCTAGTCCCCTAGAGCCTCTCTATTGGGTCTCTTCTGGCAACCCTCGCTCCAAAGAGCTGCAATTAGCAATCAAGCATCGGGCATCGACCATCGGGCCTCTTCGAGTGAGACATTGGCTTGCTACGGCGGAGCCTCTGCGGCTGCACATGTGGCACGAGAAGTATCTGTGCTTCGCGGCTAAAACTTTTATGAAAAGTTCAATTAATTAGCGTCGATTCTCGTCTGGTGCTGCCTCTGCCTCTGCATTGGCATAAATATATAATAAATGCATTTATTGGACGTCGCGCCGTCTGCCAGCTGCCAATACAATTCATTTGCGCCACCCCCCCCAGACCATGCCCCAGACCATGCCCCAGACCATGCCCCATGCCCCATGCCCATCTTTAGACAGCTCTCGATGGATGGAAACAAATTGTATCTCCGGTTTAGCCCGTCTGACAGCACGTAGCTCTACTTGTGTTGTTTTTTATCTGTAAACAATAATTTTTTACAATATTTCAAGGGTCGAGAGATGCATCTCTCCATCTCCATCTCCATCTTGTGGATACTTGTACTGGGTCTCTCCTCCTCTGCTATGCTGCAATCTGTTTACGTTATTAAATTTCCACTGCATTTCCCTTCCAAGCACAACATAAATATCATAAACTTTATGCTTTTCGAATATCCCAATTTCCAATAGGGGAAAAATAGGTGCTAATATTTTTATGATTTTATGTGCTGGAGGGCCTGAAATTTATGTTGCAACATTTTTGGAATATCTATCTATAGCATAACCCGATGAAACGGGTATTTCCCCGATAGTTTATGTGGCTAAAATTGAAATAAATCATTTTTATTTAGTAAAAATTCTTAAAATTTTTGAAATTTATTTCCCCAAAGCCTACGGAAGTCTCCACAAATAGATGGAAACTCTGTTTCAGCATGAAATATATTTAAAATATATATTTTGAGGGGAGGGGCTTGATATTTCGATAGTTTCTGCTTTAGATCCCGGATTCCAGCTCTGGGCAAGGCCCCCCCTCTCTTTGGAGCCCCTGTTGGGGCATTCGATTAATGTAATTGAAAATTCCAAGCCATATTCAGAAAGCCCATAAATATTTTAGAGCCCCGCCGCTGAGAAAGTTCGACGGGAATGGAGAATCGAGAATCGAGAATCGGTTACGCGTGTTTATGGCCCAACGATTGGGGGCGAGGCCTTTATGAGTGGGTAAATATTGTACTTACGGTAATTTAAATATGTTCAGATCCCCCCACACCCCCTCCACCCCCCTGCGAGTGGCGCTAATTGGTATTGAGGACTGCCCATGGGGGGCGACGGCGACGGCGCCAGCGGCGGCCTTTGGGTTCCTCTCTCTGCCAGTCCGATAAGTCAACGCGAGTCAAAGCTTTGACAATTATTATTGCTCAAGTGTCAGGGGCATATCCGTGAGATACGATCGAAGCGGGGAGCGGAGAGCGGGGGAGGGGGGCTGTCCGCAGACGGCGTCGACACGGTGTGATATGTCGCCTGTTTTCACAGATTTCAAGCACGTTTCTAATGATTTTTTATGACGGAAAATTGAACCTCTATTTATCTATCAATCTATCTATCTATCTATGTATCTATCGGATGTCCATCGGCCTGTGATTGAGGGCTCGCGAGGGGGCCCCCATAAAGCAAAATTTCGTGTATGGCACAGCCCCCCTCCCCCCACCACGCCGATACGGACGTAATTAATGGGATTTGAGTCTGCGCGAACGTGCTGGGAAATTGTCGCCGTATTTGCATGTTCCGTACCGTACCAACACGGTAGCTCTGGCTATTTCATGGGAATTATTTCTGCAGCTCGATGCCTGCTGAATATCAAACGGAATTTATAAATTATTAGTTTATTACAACTCGCTCAAAGCTCAGGGCCCCAGGCATTTGGGCCTCGTTCCCAGGCCGTTGCCGATTGAGGTGCTAATTTGTTTTATCGTCCACGGATCTCTGGCAGCGACATGAATTTTTATGCCCTTCAACGGCGAGGAATCTCTGGGAGAATCTTCGCTCTCAGCGGCTTGGCCCTTTGCGGATTGAAACGAGTTTTTTGACACTAAAAACTATTCATAATGGCAATATCCCAGGCCCTCCAGTCCATCCATATTCAACGATTATGAAAACAAGTCTCGACCCGATGCATATCTCCCCCTCCTCCTCCGTTCCCACCCCCTCGTTCATGCCAAATGCCTTTTGAATATTACTTTTCATTGAACAGAAATATATGTGTTTTTTTATTATTATTTTCCACTCTAGAGAACCACTTTCTAGCGCCTAGGCTTCACCCTAAGATCGGCATTTAAACTGGTTTGCGCTGAAAAGTAGTTCCCACTTGATTTGTGTTTATATAAATTATTAAACGCTAATTTATGGCTTGTTAAATTAATTCTAATATTTATTAATACGCAGAGAATATAGAGAAATCAATTATAATGTATTTTAATAGGCAGGG